AGGACTGTTTCGCTGTAGTCATGTAGTCTTGATATATTTGGTACTTTTGTTGTTGTATTATAATCTAATAATGATGAATTTCAGGAAGGAAGGTGGCTAAAGTTGTCAACAGCCGTTTAGACACATGCAGCAGAGAAGTTCTTCGGCATGATGACTTGAAGAACTTGGTGAAACTGGGCAGAGTGCGGGATCATTTCATATGTACGTTTGCAACTAAAAGCATTGAGTTAGGTTTGTTTGATGATTTACCAAATGCATTGTCAAATCTCCCTTCTGTGTTTTTTTTAGTCTCAGTTGAGTCCACGGGGATCCTCCCTGCTGATGTCCTGGTTACTGAGGCCATTAATGTCCTCATCTCTAAGTGCCAGAAGTTTCTTACAGAGCTTGATGCGGCAGAAATGGACTAGATGGAAGAAAATAAGGCCAGTCACACTCATCCCATAGCTTTGAATGAAGTCATGGGATTGGTTTACTGACACTGTACAAAGCATTTAAAGCTTTAGCTAAAAACTCCTTTTACAAGTGTAAATTCATACAAATTCCAGTGAGCAATTTAAGGCCATAAGAGAATTCTGGAGATTTCTTGACATTCAAGTTTATTTGTTTCTTTTTAGTCAAGTTAATCTGTTTTGTTTGAGTTGTCCAGCTATAACAAAACATAATGTAAGTCACATATTTGACACAACACATTTTGTGACCTATTTATGTTTTTCCATGTATATTAAACTTTTGCTGTTGACAAAATTACTAATTGTCTATGAATTTCTATCTTTTTATTGTGAACATTTGAACGAAGCACTATGCCAGAGTCTTTATATTCTTAATCCTTATATAATGTTGTAGGTCAATTTGACACATTTTAATTTTGAAGTTGTCAGAATACTGGTTACCTTTGATTACCTTATTCTCATTTGGGGTCATGAACATGTCTAGACACTGATGTACTGTTGAATGTGCATACAAGATGTCTATTACAATTATGATGTTTAGTCAAGTTTGACTAATTTGATTTTATTTGACAATCTGATTTTATGTCAGTTTCTAGGCTACCCTCTGAGGGTATTTTACATTTATGCATTTGGCAGATGCTTTTATCTGAAGAAGCCTTCACTGCAATGAAGGCGTACATTTTTATTAGTTAATGCATGCTCAGTTTGGTGGGAATCAAACGGTTTTATATACGGTTTTCTGAGCGCAGAAAGCAGCTATCACAGCATATGAGTACTAAACTAAGTTCTCTTTCATGTCTTATTGTGCTTAAATTGTCAAATACGCACAAGTTACAAAAACAGTCGGTTATGTCTGTGAAGAAATTGCATGTTTATAATAGATCTGTGCGGCAGCAGGGTAATATACAGTAAATAAATCCATGGGGGGAGCGAAATCTGAACGGCTTGTTTTTTCACAAGTTGCAGAGAAAGGCTTATCAAAAAAATTACTGGGTTCTTTTTTTTACATTTTCTGGGTTGGTAGATGCACGGGGGACCCGGTTATATCACTTAAACACAGAAAAAGTCAGATTTCCATGATATGTCACCTTTAAAATGTTTTTTTTTATTTTTTTTTAAGTTAAAAGAAAATTTGTGAGAAGTTTTAAAGTTTCACTGTTTTTACCAGCTTGGTTTTTCACAGTATGATTTTTTTCTTTTTTTTTGGTGAATTGTATTGAAGCCAGTTTGACACTGTTTAAACATCTCGTTGTGCCAGTAGGGCTAAATAATGCAGAACTACAGAGGCGTAGTTTCCTTTCATCGTGGCAGTGACCTGAAAATTTGCCTTCGTGTTCAGTTCAGTGAACTCAGAGTTGTTTTTTAGTACTTGCTTGGAAAGTTTCCATCTTGAAAATCCCTATATTTTCATACAGATCATCCGTCATAGACATGTAATGATTATTTGCTATCAGTGCTTCTAAAGTGCTCATGCTGAGGTTCCTGTCTGCTTTGAGTTACATACAAACATGCTGACTGAATTACAAGAGCTAATGTCCAGCATATGCTGCTGTTGCCAGAGGCAGATGCATCTAAAGTAGCTTTACGTTTGGGCTGTAGGGCATTGTTTGGCACAATGAGGGCTGGAGTCAGCACAATGAAAGCATTATGCATGAAATCCAGTTTTTTCTCGCTGGGTGATACAAACACCAGAGCACCTGATGAAGTTCATCCTGATTTATGCACGATCCAGATACTTCACTTTGCATCTAATTCCTTTTGTTGAGCTCGACAGGAGAAGTTATTTGCTATTTCCATGCATTCATTCTGCCTTTTCCAGGTGCACTTAGTCACATTTTGGCATATTATTATGGTTGGGCACAACATCTGCAGTAGATCATCTTGAGCTATATTCTACCAAATACCCGCCCACCCATAACGCACAAGCAAATACATAATCGCACACAATGTGTAGACGTTGAAATTGGGCCAGGGTGTCTTTGGAGACAGCGAATCAGAATCACAGAGGGACGCGGCACGATAAGTGGGTCACCTTCCATTATGTGGCTCTCATCATTAGAACGGTTCTGCATGAGACTGGTTGATACTGGAGTCACTTGGCACTCTCCATTCCTCTCCATCCTGTCTCATTACTCAGCTTTGCTCTTGGCAAGCAGCAGACACCACTCAAAGCATAAAAAGACAGGAGAAAAATCTCATACCCTTGTTGGCCAGAGCTGTTGTTTATAAAACATTCTGTATTTTCCTAAGCAAGCAAATTATGGTGAAGGGATCACTCAGTTCCTCGGCCCACTGGGTGAAATTTTCTTTAACACAGCTTGACAGCTCATTAAGATAAAGCTTATTATATTTTTGTCTGTATGGACATGACCATTTTTCCTGACTACTTCAGCTTTCCATTGCTAATAAAACAAATTGCTTTTGATTTCAGCTTGGGTCAAATAATTTGAAGAATGTCTCAATCTTGACATGAATGGTAGTGGAAGTTCAATGCAAGAATATCGGCTGATTTTGGCATTCTCAAAGAACTACCTTGCTGAAAAAGCTTGCTTAAACCAGCCTAAACTGGTTTGCTTGTCTTCCAGGTTGGTCAAACTGGCTGCCGGCTAAAAACAGCTTGGCCAGGACCAGATTAAACCACCTTAGGTTTTTTCAATGGGATAATGAATCTATTGAAGCTCTTTATTCTCTACTGAATAAACCTGCTTTAACTTCCCTAAGATGGTTTAAGTTGGTCTTAGCTGGTTTAGGCTTGTCACCCAGTCTGGTCAACCTGTTCTTCAGCAAGTCTACCAGCCTGACCAGCTAAAAAGTGCCCCAAACTCTTTAAAACTAGTCAACAGACCAGGCTGGAAGATCAGCAAACCAGATTCGGCTGGTTTAAGATGGCTTGTGTAAAGAAATGGTTTAACTTGTCAGGCCAGGAGACCTGTTGTTGGTCCAGCTAAAAACAGCCTAGCCAGGCTGGGGATCAGTTTAAACCATCTAAGACCAGCAAACTAACTTTTTCACCAGACTAATAAACCCTTAATAGAAAAAAAAAAAAAACCCTCAAACTATTCTGAGCTTAAGTAGATGTCCCAGCCTAACCAGTTGAAGAGAGCCTAAAACCCCTTTAAAACCAGTCTCCAGGCCAGTCTGACCAGGCTGCGAGACTAGCAGACCGGTTTAGGCTGGTTTAAGATGATTTTTGGCGGGTTTTAGAGGAGTTTCAGGCATTTTTCAGCTGGTCAGGCCTGAAGACCAGCTGCCCATTCAGATAAAAATAGCTCAGCCAGACTGGGAGTCCACCTTAAAGGGGTCATATGATGCAATTTCAATTTTTCCTTTCTCTTTGAAGCGTTACAAGCTCTTGGTGCATAAAGAAGATCTGTAAAGTTGCAAACACTAGTCTCAAATCCAAATGCAACGCGTAAAAAGACAGTATAAGTCATTATAATCTGTAATTAAGTCCCCACTGGATGCAACAAATGGCTCATTCATAATGGGTTTTAATGTTTTTGTCTCTTCGCTCCGGACGGACGGCATCACAGTATGGTAAGGGGCGTAACATTTCTGTCACACGCTTGAGGTATTCGGCCAATCACAACGCACTGGATAGCTGGCCAATCAGAGCACACCTCGCTTTTCAGACCGATGAGCGTTGTAAAAATCGACGCGTTTCAGAAAGGCGGGGCATAGAGGAGAAACAATAATGTACAGTATGTGGAAAATAATGTGTTTTTTTTACCTTAAACCGCATAAACACATTTCATTACACCAAATACACAAAATAATGTTCTTTTTAGCAACATAATATGACCCTTTAAACCAGTTCAGACTAACAAACCAAGGGGGTGTTTACACAACAGCTTTCAACTAAAAAACTGAAAACATTTTATGAGTTTTGGCTGTTCATTTACACGACAACAGTGTTTTGTTGGCCTGAAGAGGAAAACTATTGAAAACGTGTTTCAAAGTTCAAGTTACCTTTATCGTCTTCATGTAAACTACAAAAATTACAAAGTGACATCGCCATCTACTGGCCTGGCATGCTTATAGCATTTTTTTTGTCGTTTTCGTTGATCAGCGTGAACAGGGATCGTCTGTATGTTAAACTTCTCCGTTTTTTGTACATTGTTGTCATATAAACGTCCCCCAGTTTTTTTCAGCAAGCCAATAAACCGTTCTTATTCGCAACGCCGTATAAACTCTTCCCATTCAATTTAACTAGGCAGACTCTGCTTTGTTTAACATAGTGTGAAAGGATCCGTCTCCAAACGTTGATTTGTGACACATTTGGCGTGTTCTCAAATAACCTTCACATTAAGCAGCGTCCGTCCTCATCTTAGGTCACAGGTGGCTGGGCTCCTGGGGCCCAGAACGAGTAGAGTTAATTGAACACAAGGCGCCCGTCCGCCTGCCTACGTGCTCGCCGCCTGAGTGGAACTGTGTATTTCCAGCGAGCGAGAGACAGAATAATGCCGTGCCTTGTGTGCCCCGGCGAGCTATCGCTGCTCTGCCGTTGCCATGGTGACAGTGCCCTCACTGGGTACAGCGGGCTGGAGAAGTTGCTCTGGCTCTGCGTCATATTTATTCCAGTGGATCCGTGCGCTCTCTCTCGCCTCCTCCTTTTGCTCTCCTCTACGCTCTCTCTCTCTCTCTTTCTCTCTGTCCATGCTTTTTAGGGCTAATTGACCCAGCTCCAGATCATCAATACGACGAGCTTCGACTACCACAAACAGCACAGACTCCGAAAAGGTAAAATGTGGTGAGGCAAACAATGTGGAACTTGATTAGACTCATTTGCTTTTATTGAACTCGAGCTGTTTTAGTGTAATAAACGGACTGCATTTTGTGTTGTTTTCATGCACTTAATTGGATCAAGAGTTGATTGTAGATCCTTCCTCTCTGTTTCTCGACAGCGCGACCGGGAACACCAGCGTAACTGCGAGGGAAGGTGAGTGAGTGTCAGCGCACACAGGTAAACATCTAAGCTTCCATAATGGTGGTGTCAGAGGAAAGACAGAGGAGGGATCATCTTTGTTTTCAGCAGAGCTGCGAGTCGGAGTGTGAAAGCGTGTGACTGAGGACGAAAGAGAGGGAGGGAGAGGGGGACCTGATTGTGCAGTCTGTGGTGAAGAGCATCTCCCGAGGCTCAGGGCTTCAAAGCCAATCTGTGGCTCTGAAAACAAAAAGCCATTTCCTACAGCAGCGCAAAGAAACCCTTCAGTGTGAAATTATTCTCAGTGGAGTGGCTCTCTTTGTTCTTTGCTCGCTGTGTTTTGGACCGCAGCTCCTCTCGGCTGAAGAAAGTAAATCAGATGAGTTCATTAAAGGCATTTTAGGAGTAAGTAATAGCAGGGACTCGTCTGATTTTACATCCGACTGGCGGGTCGTTCGTGCGCGCGTGGGATTGAGAGTGTTGTCTCTGTGTCATCAGCATATTGATTTTGAGTGACAGGTGACATGTATAATTACAGCAGTGCGATGAAAGCAGTGCCCTGTTCCCTAGATACGCCGGATGAGAGTCTGTGAAATCAAGAGGTTGCTGAGTGCTCTCTCACTCCCCCCTCTCTGGAGTTGTCAGGCGGCTTTGACAGGGGACGTAAAGGACCAGTGGTGTGTGAGATTCGGTAGTTAGAAGCACAGCCCACTGGAGGGAGAGGCTTTGAGAAGGGAGAGCGAGGGAGGCGTCGGATCGATCGCGGGACTGACACGGAGCGGGTGCCATGTGGACGGGGACCTCTTGTCTGTCCTTTGGGACTACGAGAAAGCCAGTGAGTCTTTAAAAAAGGGAGGGCTGAAGATGTGAATGTGCACTTAGACAAAGACGAATGCTGAGCTTTTTATACTTGCAAAGTGAATAACTTATACGGTGTATTGTTTGATGTGAGTGCTCAGCCAATTTTAGATACTGATTCCTTGAAGAAAGTAGACCCCTTAGCACACTCTAAGGAGGCTGTTTCTCCAATGTACCAGTACTCCAGGTACGTTTTGCATTTTTAATCTAAACTGTCTGTAGCCATTAACTGAACCATTTTCTTGTCTGTACAAATAAATGGCAGTTGCCACGTTTATAGAACAATGTATTTCTATGTTTTTGGACAGGTTGCATGGAAATACCATGGTATTCTTAAAAGTACTTTGATGTACCATTTAGACATCATGCTATATGAATATGGTAACAAAATCATTAAGAATCATTACTGTACTAATTGAAAAAAAGATATTACTGTGTTTCTGATCATAGTATTCTTAAAAGTACCATGTAAATGCCATGCTATATGAATATGGTAAGCATTAACAGTACCCTTATCTTGTCATTATGAATAAATCATAGTTATTATACTGACAGAAAAAGTTACATGTATAATGGGAAATGCCAAGATAACTTGATGTACCAGGTAGATAATAATGATATTATAACCATTAACGAACCATTGATTTTATTGTTGTCAGTACAAATAAATCACATTTAGTATGATTACACACACACACACTAAACCACAGTTATTGCACTTACAAAAGCCATTGCCATTGTTTTTCCATCTAATCATTGTACACTCACAGGCGCTGATATTAAAATTATAGATATTAAAAATGACAATAATATATATTTTTCAATATAATATTCCAAATAAAAATAAAAAAACTATAATCAGTCATTTTAAATTCTACAAGTGAATTTAGTCATCACAATATTATAATCTGCAGTATAAAGATTGAGATTTAATTTATTAAATGTTATTAAATAAGTGTCTTATATTAATATTTACTATACTAATATTACTTATATTTGCTGTTTGCTAATAACTTCTAGGTAAATATTTGCTATAAAAAATGTGTAGAATAATATATATTATACAAACATTAACATTTGTTAAATGATGGCAAAGGTAATTAAAGGGAAATAAGCATGTACAATTGAATATCTAATATTTATTGATACTGATAAATAAATAAAAAAGTATCTCTAATATATTTTTTGGCTAATAACTGATATGGTACCGTACCAATATATTGTGCATGTCTCCCCCACAGTACTTTTCTGTGAATGTATCAAAGAGTGAATAATGCATAGGTTACTGAAATGTACAGAACATGGAAAGAGCAGAAGGACGGCTGTATGAGGAGAAGGCAGATCAGTCATGCAGCAGATAGAGTGTGTGTGTCTCACTCTGGCAGGGGTGAGCTGTACAGCGGACCCCAGGGAGCCTCAGGAGGGCAGGCTGTACGTGTGCTTGTGTGTGTGTGTATGTGTGTGTGTTTATGCAGTGTGTCGTAGCTCCACTAGGCGGTAATGACTCCTTGCCTCTGGGCTCTGGCTGCCTCTGTTTATCTCCGTTAGCAGCACAAGGCAAAAATAGGCAATACATAGCGAGAAAATAAGAACAGCGTCACATGGCCAGTGTGCGCTAAAATGTGCCTCACAGGTCACTTTGACAATGTTGGATCTCGCTTTCCCTCCCTCCCTCTCTGATCCTCTCCTGTGTCACACACACACTCTGTCTCTCTCACTCTCATATTTTCTCCCTCCCACAAGTATTGCAATTTGCATATTAATGAACCTGGGTGCAGTGTCGAGCAGGAGTGTAATTCCTACTTCCTGTTTCTCGCTGAGCTCTTGTTTCTACATTTTGATTTTTTGTGCCCTCCTCCTGCTGACTCCCCACCCCCTTTCTGCCTGTTTCTATTTCTCAGAAGAAGCCCATGCTAACAGTGCGTGGACTGAACAACACCATTTCATTAAGAGCAGTGCCAAACATGTGAGAAGATGTCTGTTGGAGGTTGTGCTTGCCCAGGTAAGAGCTTTAATTCCCTCTCTTCTGCATGGACAGCTTCAGGCAGGAGTTGCGAAACAGCATGGGGTTTTTGGGAATGAAAGGATACTACACCTGGAAGATTTCACATCTCTTTTGCTCCATTACTGTGGGCCACTTAGGTCATATGTTTCATTGCATTCCATTTATGGCCTGTTTATTTGAACTGGCTAATTAAATAAATGAATTAAATAAATCAGCATTCCTGTAGGGTAACATTTGTTTTAGAAGTTCATTTGTGTCATTTATTTCTGCACGTAATGGCAAGCATTTGTTCGTGATCTCGAAGCAGAGACTTCCTGGACATTGCTGTGACTTGACTAGCCTCTGACTGGTGTGTATAGTTGTGTGGAGTGCGGTCCTTTTGTCAAATGACGTCAGCCATCGCTCGCATCTTAAAGTGCTTTGCAGAGAAACAAGTAAAGGCTTTTGATTGAGCAGGACACTGTGGCAGTTTAACTTCTGACGGTTATGAAAAACATATTCTCTTTGTTTTTCCTTCATGAATCATGTTCTGAAAACAATTTTAGGCGTTGGTTGGTCATTTGTGCCAATGGCAGGAAATAATATAAAGAAAAAACTTCAGACACAAATTCGTTCATCTGCATTGCAAACATTTTTCACATGTTGAAGGCATTTGAAATCAAAGGCATTAGCTTTTTTGGCAGCTGTTCTTGCTTTGAGACTGTTGAATAGAGAAATCTTAAACATCTGTCTTGACTAATTTATATAGGAATTGCACAATCAGTCACAAGCATAAATCACTATAAACTTTGCATACAAATTAGCCTTATTTTACATTTGTTAACTTTTATAAATAGTTACAGTTATTTTAGTATTATTACTTACATTTATAATGCATAAACCAATATTTGTTTATTCATATTTATAAATATAATACTTTTATATATTTATGCATCTATATTTATTATTCGTTTATAAATACTTATTTGTTATGCACACCAATAAGCTCTGTTCATTTATGTATGAATTAATTTATTTATACTTTTAAATATTTACATTGATGTTTATATCTATTCATATTTATAAAAATATTTGTATTTATAAATCTCCATATTTTTTAATTTGTTTATATATATTTAAATGTTTTCTTTTATGTTTATATAATATTTGTATTTACTCACTTGCATTTAAAGTATACAATTTGATCAGTTCAAATCAAACCCAAGACTTTGCCAGCACCACACTCTACTATGGGACTGAATCTTCATAAAAATCAAGTGATGCTCCTAAAGATGTGGCTTCATGTTGGTGATCTGACAGCAAGTATCCTCATAGGGAATCTCCGTTCAATGGCGGCATGAAATGTTTGGTCATACACCGTTAAAGCTGCTAAGATTTGGAAATCTATCTGCCTGTCTGAACGTGTCTGAATGTTACCTGTTGGCCCTATAATGAAAGAGCGTAGCTGGTTTGAGTGTGGTCAAATATGCTGGAAGCAGTGATGTAGCATATGTTGACTTTGCTGTGCAGCCCAGTGTGCGCCATCACCTAAACAGAGAGGACAAATTTACACCACTAGACACAAGGCACCCTTGTTTCTGACCCAGTCTTTTTCTCTCACAAGTTCTAGTCTCTAAATCACTTAAATACGTTTTTAATCTAGTCCATATGTTCAGTCCATAGGAGTTTTCAAGTACCAAACTTCATGTTCTTAAGATCTGTGGCATCATGGAAAGACACATACAGGGCACATAACGTCTGTCCTCTCCCTCACTGCGATGAAGATTAAAAACAGGGTGAATGGCATCAAGGCAAGTTTGGACCAGTGTGGGGATTGTTTCTGTGCCATAAACACAAGGCAAGCAGTTTCTTCAGACGTTCTCAAGTCAGATTTTTATCTCAGCGCAAGAGGCAGCCACAAAAGCCTCTCTGGCAACCCCATTGATAAACAAGCCAAAATTTGGCACGTTGCGTTTGTTTAAAATCAAGTCACAAGGGTACATTTTTACAAGCGTAGTCATGGAAATTTCCACAGACATGTGTCCTGTCTGATTGCTTTCCTTTTTTGTGAGGAGGGAGGCAGGAAAGAGGACGAAGAGAAGAAAGAAGGAGATGGGGCGAGACTGAAACAGAGGCTCGGAGCAAGAGAGATGGCTCTTTCTTGCTTTTGTGTGGGGTCCCACTGCACTGTTTCTTAAAAGGCAGAAGAGCACCGTAAAAAACTGCTTGTGATGTTCACCTCTGTCAGAAACACGATGCAATCTGTGCTTACAGCGCACGCCCCTCCCCTCGACATAGGTTTTGTTTGAAGTCTGGTTTGTTTACATTCCTATGCTCATGTGGGCTGCACGTACAGTGGGCCGCCGTGATCTTCCCGTCTGGGTTCGCAGATATATCGCTGAGCGTGAATTGCATGCTTTTAATGGCCTCTTTTATAGCTTTGTTAAGCTAGATAACAACCCATACCGACACTTTTAAATGATACTAAGCTCCATCCAGCTGCTCTCTGCCACTCGACTCTCTACCTCTCACCCACAGGCACTCCATATCAGCATGTGTCCGCACGTACAGTGGGCCGCCGTGATCTTCCCGTCTGGGTTCGCGGATATATCGCTGAGCGTGAATTGCATGCTTTTAATGGCCTCTTTTATAGCTTTGTTTAAGCTAGATAACAACCCATACCGACACTTTTAAATGATACTAAGCTCCATCCAGCTGCTCTCTGCCACTCGACTCTCTACCTCTCACCCACAGGCACTCCATATCAGCATGTGTCCTGTTACCTCATGCAGAAAGTCACATGGCCCCTTGATTAGAAGGAAATGACTTTAAGTAAAGCTAAAATAGCAACCTCAGTCACGTGAGGAGGGAGGCAGGAAAGAGGACGAAGAGAAGAAAGAAGGAGATGGGGCGAGACTGAAACAGAGGCTCGGAGCAAGAGAGATGGCTCTTTCTTGCTTTTGTGTGGGGTCCCACTGCACTGTTTCTTAAAAGGCAGAAGAGCACCGTAAAAAACTGCTTGTGATGTTCACCTCTGTCAGAAACACGATGCAATCTGTGCTTACAGCGCACGCCCCTCCCCTCGACATAGGTTTTGTTTGAAGTCTGGTTTGTTTACATTCCTATGCTCATGTGGGCTGCACGTACAGTGGGCCGCCGTGATCTTCCCGTCTGGGTTCGCAGATATATCGCTGAGCGTGAATTGCATGCTTTTAATGGCCTCTTTTATAGCTTTGTTAAGCTAGATAACAACCCATACCGACACTTTTAAATGATACTAAGCTCCATCCAGCTGCTCTCTGCCACTCGACTCTCTACCTCTCACCCACAGGCACTCCATATCAGCATGTGTCCTGTTACCTCATGCAGAAAGTCACATGGCCCCTTGATTAGAAGGAAATGACTTTAAGTAAAGCTAAAATAGCAACCTCGGTCACAAAGCAAGCCTGTTTCAAGTTGCACAATGACGAAAGGGTTAGGGTGTGCCTGTCAAGTTAGGAGAAGCTGTGCTGATTTACTGTCTCCCTGCTGGATTGGCAATGCCTGTGCATGGTGGGTTTAGCGTGCATTTGTGTGTGCGTGTGCAACATCTCCCCCCTCTCCAGCCCGTGGCTCACGGATCTGTCTCATTACACAGAGCTAGAACAAAATGGCTTCCTGTACAGAAAAAAATCAGCTCCCCTCAACTTGTCAGTGTTAGATGGGGATGTTAGAACTCGTTATGTCACGTGTCAGCGATGGTGAGGGAATATTAGATGAGAGCTGGCATTTGCCAGCTGCGTGACTCCACCACAGCAAGAACCAATGCGCTGTTTGAACAAAAATGATGCATGATTTTACAGACTGAATGAAGATTTATTAGTGGTGCTTGGTAGGATAAGCATCACTATTGCTATTGCTTATATTTGTACCTCTATTTGTATTAAGATTTGGCATGTGACTCACTGTTTGTGCTGTGGATATGAATGATTCCTTAAATTGTGCGAATTGATGATAAAAGGTTTGCTGTTACTTTTCCATGTGTTTTCAAACTGTCATCCTTCTGGGCACCACAGGGTCACAGAAGGGTGCATGCTAGGGGTCTCAATATAAACAAATATGTAATCCTTTTTACCACATTCACAAAACTTGACAGTATTAATGCAAAATGTCATTTTAGGGCAGTCAAAATCAGCACTTTTGTAGTTTCTTAGTAAAAAAAAAAAAAAGGTCAGTTAGTACATAAAAAAACAACTTTTCTCACACAGTTTAAATGGGTCACAACTTTTCAAATCTTCTGCAGGTAATCACACCAGTATGCCACTTAAATGTGATATTGCTATTACATAGGCTGCTAGTTTAATAAACGGATATATATATATATTTTTTTTTAAAGATAAAATAAAATTGAGCAACTTACCTTTTACACACAATATAACCAGTTACTGTACCTACTGTTGTGCCGCCATACTTGCCAAACGAAGCCAGAAGCACACAGTAGTACAGTTTTGTTCCTAAATGAATCTGTGTTTTTGAACGAATCGTTTGAGTAAATGAATCAATGACTCCTGAAAACACTTGAATTCGAAACAGTGCACTATATTGTAGAAAAAGTAATAGACCTATGCTATTAAGCTACTCGGAATTCCGTGTCTCATTCTTGATTGGATTGTGGTTTTGAGCAAATGATTTAATATATGATCAAATGACTCACTTATACAGACAGACACTTGTCGTTACCTGCTGGTGTAATTAAGTAATTTGTAGTAAGAGTGATTGGGTTAAAGGGATAGTTCACCCAAAAATGAAAATTCTGTCATTAATTACTCACCCTCATGTCATTCCAAACCCGTAAGACCTCCATTCATATTCGGAACACAAATTAAGATATTTTGATGCATTCCGAGAGATCTCTGACCCTCCCATAGACAGCAAGCATACTACCACGGTCAAGGTCCAGAAACATAGCAAGGACATCGTTAAAATAATCCATGTGACATCAGTGGTTCAACCATAATTTTACGAAGCTACGAGAATACTTTTTTGTGCGCAAAGAAAACACGTTGGATACTTTGTCTACGTTGTCTACGCTTTGATCTGAATGAAAACAACGTATCCGTGTGACGCAGCTGACAGAACAGCATACGCTGTTTA